CCACACCACGAATTCCTTACAACCAACTTTTCCTTGGAAATGAAAAGTCATGTCACAATGCAGCTCTAGGGAATTCTTCGAATCCCAGTTTTTCTTCATATCTAGAGCAGTGCAAGACTTTCAGCTAACCTATATGTGATTTAGATGCTTCATTTAATGGCCTGATGGATTCAAGTGTGGAAGCTCGCCTCCTTTAACCTCGCTTAGCATTGTTTAAAGTCGTAGGCAACACTGCAAACGATGATACAGAAAATGCAATTTTAAATCTTGCCACTGGAAACGATGTCTTTCTGATGACGGCATCATATTGTCTATTCAATGTGCCTCTTTCTTGCTCTTCATCCTGCTCTGGCCTATCCAGTCGTACAATGATTTGGCTCTCTACATCTTGGTTTTTGTTCACTCAAGTTAATTTTGATTTGACTCAACTTTTTTTCTTTCCCCTTGGTCCTCACGATATTGTGAGCCTGTATCTTGTTCCTGTAAATCCGCAAAAAACCAATCAGTCGCTGTTCAACTTTGATATTTTAACAGCGTCTCAACCTCCGAATTTCATTCCCTTACTTGTTCTCCTAATTAGATTTTTTAATCTCATTTTTATTCTACCTCTTCTGCCCATTCTCCTTACCACTCTCCCTTTTTTGTCACTAGCCATGGCGCCAAGGCAGCCAGTCAACCTCTTTGGCAAATCAATCTGCAAGCATTCAGTTTCTTTTTTTCCATACTCTTTATATATACACACACATATATATATACGCATATATATATTTATACACATATACATTTACATATGCATATACGTTTACATATATATATATATATATATGCGTATGCACCTGCATCTATAGGGTTGTGGTAGAGGTATTTTTGCGCAGGTTTAATCCAATGAACCCCCTCAGTTTTTTGCTCCTATCGGCAACTTATAAATTTGACCAATGTCAGTCAAAAACACATCCTTTAACCAGACCATAGAGGCTCGAGTTGTCGAGCTTCTCTTCAATCGCACATTCAATAAATCATTTCGTTTTTAGTCCAGCTCCTTTGCTTTTCCCAACCTTAATAGAAACTCTTTTGTTGGCCTCACGATTTCACATGCATACACGTGGGCCTACGCATACGCATACACTTATAAACCTTTACGGGTTTTGATGGGAAAGCAATGCCTGCAATAGCTCAGTTGCTAGACTTGTGCGTAGTTAAATTTTGTAAACTTGTTTAATCAAAATAATCTTTTTGCATATCTCTTTAAAGACTCCATCCGATTAAACTGTATTCTCATTTATTTATAATGCTTCTTGACAAAAATGCATTTCTTCTTGAATTATCCCATCACATTAAAGTCTTGGTTACTGTGGTTTGGTCTATGAGCGTGTCCCGCAACACACTGATGTTTAAATACCAACGATTTTTCCTTTCTTTCAATTTAGACTATATTTTCTGCTTTTATGTAGATATATAGCACTAATAGGTTACTAGCATTTCATTCTTTGTACTTATACCTTTCTTCAGATGGCTTTCATTCTTTTCACTTTATTGGGTTTTACTTACTCCACCCATCCCAACATCGCACATAGTAACGGTTTTGGTTTGGCTGATCAAATTTTTTTCAACTCTTATAATACATCGACACACCTAAATCTAGCTGAACTTAGGCCTTGTGAGTAGTATAAAATTAAATGCTTGTTTTAAAATTTGGAATTTATTTCAAAGCAATAGTAAAAAGTGTAGACTCCTTTCGTCATCTAGAATCTCTCATCCTATCTCGGCTGGATCATAGATTTCTCAACTTCATTTCTCACCATTCTTCTTTCTTCAGGGTTCCACCACACCTAGTGGTCCCGGAGGTCTTCCAGTTGCGGCGGCTTATCTCAGCCCTACCACTCTGGCTTTTCTTCAACAGCAACAGCACCATCAACAGCACCATCAACAGCCCTCGTCGCAACAGTCTTCGCAACAGCAGCAAAACCAATCATCTCAAAATCAACAACAACAACAGTCGCAACAGCAACAGACATCTCAGTCTCCGTCCCATATTCAGCAGGCTCAACAGACTGTCACAA